CCGAGAAGAAGAAGAAGAAGAAGAAGAAAAGGGGGGGGGGCTAGAGGTTTGATGGGAAGAAGGAAAGACGGTTTGGTTGGGAAGAGTAATTGTAAAGAAAGAGACTATTTGGCAGGGGGAGAGAGATGAGTTGGAGAGATTTAAACTAATTAAGTGAATGGGGTCATTTATGGGAGGGGATACAGACGTGTTGGGTAGAAATTATTAATCTAAATGAGTAGGCCCACGTAGTAATAATTATGGGAGAGTAAAAAAAAAAACTAAGAATTTATTAGGTGCCTCCCACAACTCCCACCATGCTAAGCAAACTCAGGAAATGAAAGGTTGGGGGAATGGGGAGTTATTTGAGGAGAGGAATAGTTATTAGGAAGACAAAAGTTAATATGGGAGGGAGAAGAGTTGGCGACATAGAAAACCCTAATCCAAGTAAGTGGGGCCACAGTCTAATAAATGTAAACACCACGTGGCAACAACTTGGAGTTGAAATGAGACATTGTAAAGGTATCTACGTGGATACCAACAGCTATATAGGAGTAGTATAGATACAAAATAAGCAGTTTACTTTGTCAAACTAAACGAATTATTACGAAATTCAAAAATAATTTGGGAATAATTTGAAAAATCCGCGAATAGTTTTTGAATAATTTGGCAAACCTAAAATTCGCAAATAATTCGGAGAATAATTTGGCATATCTAAAATTCACAAATAATTTGTGAATTTTTCAAAAATTCGGAGAATTTTGTTACTATGGTATCAAGTTGAGCATAACTCAACAATGAAATACCATAAGTTTCCAAGTTCCTACACTGTTGCCTTTTGTTTTTCTAGTTTTGTTGGATTCATATGTGGTTGACACAGGTACAGACTGTACAGTAATAAGCACATCAAGTGCAAGCTTGCTCTTATCTTTAATTATAACACCTTTTGAGTCGACATAGCTAGGTGCATTGTCATCTGAGGCATTAGAGATATTGGTAGCTCCACTAATTGGGGCCATGGTATTAAGGCAAAATTTTATATTAAAAAAAAAAAAAAATTTATAAAATGAACTTCCACAAGCAGCTAACATGGAGGCATCTCAAAATGTAGTATGAAAAAAAAAATAGTTAAATGTCAATAACATATCATGTCCAGTCCTTCCCTATTTAACTGACACTGAAAATGAAGGTTAATCTTTCTGAGGTTTGGAACTCATCGTATCCCAATACTTTCCTAGAAACAATTATTTGCAGCACAAGGACATTTTATATCCTAGCAACATATGTTCAAGCTGGGAGCAAAGTTTTTTAAGAACATCAGAGAGTGATTCACAGGGTTTGAATAGGTACCTTCTTAGTGCCACAGATTTTATCATTAATAGGGATGAGACAAGCAATAACTACTTAAAAACTACAAACATTATTTCACTTTACTGCATTTGATCAAACCTGGATATGGAACAACACATGCAAGATCGATATCATTTTCTATAAGCTCCATGAAAAGAGGAAGACATTGCATGGGTCATATACTCTAGGCATGAAAGTGTAACGACATCTCCACTTCTATGTATTCATTTTCCAGGAATGATTTTCTTTGGGTTTTCTGCGTGGAAGACATCTCTTTTCATGAGCATCTAGTCTCATTTGGTTCTCTCTATTCTTAAGTAACAAGTCTGGTGATTTGAGTGCACTCTCTCACAGTGCAGAGAGGGGAGAACCAGAGAATGAAAAGCCAGAGTGCTGTGCTGCTGTGTCCTAAGGCTACACGTCAAAGACTGCTACACCAAAAAGTTACCCATAGGGGCGAGAATCATTTTAAACAGATTGAACTGGTCTATACATTGGTTTCTTCGATACAAATTCTTCCTGCAGATTAGTTTCTTCTATACATTGGTTTCTCCAACAAATAGTGTCACTTATCCCTGTTCCTCTGATTCCGTACATGCCAAAGGAATTTAAGAATTTTTTCCCTATATTTTCATCACACCATAACATTAATGCTTTCCATCAGATAAGCTTCAGATCACCTTATCACCCTGACAATGAAAATGAAGGTTAACCCTTTTGAGGTTTGGAAGTCACACGCATGCATTTTATATACTAGTATGCCGAAGATACTAAAGAAGGTATGGGAGACTGATACATGCAATGAATCACGGTCTGATGCAGTAACTTAGTGCCAAAGATTCTGTCCTTAATTATGGATGAGACTGGAAATAAATACTTAAACATACATCATCATTTTGTAATTGATCACACCTGGATATGGAACAACCAGTGACAGTGAGAGATGGATATCATTTCCTAGTGACAACGTGAATCATGGAAACAAGTGACAACTGAAAACATTGATACTTTCTCTAACAAATATCCTATTCTCGAGAAGTTCACTACATCATACTTAGTAGTTATGACCATAGTTACCAAGTTCTCTGATTTTTTCAAAAAATTCCGAATAATACCCGAATTTTTCATCGAACAATTAATTCATGAAACATTTGTGAGTTTTGGAAAAATAGGTCACAGATTTCATGAATTATTCATAATTTTTTTAAAAGTCCCGAATAAATATCTAATATATGAAATATATTTGTGTTTAACTTTCATAATTAATAATCTTATTTTATAATTTTTCATTTCTTACCCGACATTTTTCCCAATTTATTTTTGAATATTGGTGATTTTTTCCGACCTTTTTCCTAGACAAATTATTCCCGAACCCCTACTTGGTAACTATGGTTGTGACAAGCATTAGACATCGAGAATCGCTGGATCCAGATAACTTTAGTATCATTGGAACAAAAAAAGTTTCCGGTATAATGCAAGAACATTACCCTAAATTATATGAAACCTACTACTATGGAAGACAAGTTTACAGAAAAAATTAAAGCTTCCCATTGTCCTGAAATACTGTCTGACAAAACATTTAGCTACCTTCTTCCAATCTCATACAGGGGGAATCAGATTCAGAAAAATATGAAACTAAGCAGTGATTGAAGTGGGCTATATGAAAGGATCAATCAATCAAGAACCAACCAACAAGGAAGATTATTAGATCCTAGATGCAAATTGGTATTCATGGAATTATTTTAAGGAGAAGGGGTCCAAAGTAATGGGTTACAGACGACACAAATCAACAGTCGTACGTGAAGCATCACCATCTATATATACCAAACATCAAAAATCTACTTAAAGATCGAAATCGTAATACAGTCACTTAGCATATATGTTCTTTCAAGAGAAGATAGAATTCCAGACATTATATTACAAAAATCTTCCGGAGACAAACATAGTATACGATATAATCTTCTTACCCTCTAGCCTTGAGCTCATCCAGGCACCTCGAAAGGTCCGCTTCGCCCACCTTCTCAGCTGCCTTAGTTGCAATAGCATGAGCAGCTGGCTGAGGCAGCCCAACCGAAACCTCCAAACCATAATCGTCTGCAACCTGCTGCATCAGGCTACTGACCTCTCCTTCTGGTGTCGACAGGGACGTGCTTCCGGCCATGGAACTCTCCATGAATTCAGCTTGAACCTCCATGTTAACAAAATGCTTCTCGAATTGATACATTGTCTCCGACATTTTCTGCAAATTCCCAGTCGCCAGCGTCGAATCGAGGGCTTTAACGATCGACGCCATTGATTTGTTGATCGTTGTCATTTTCGCCTGCGTTTCAAGCCGAGCAAGATAATTCATCTGCTCGTTGCGTTTGCGTATTGAATTCTCGGCGTATATTCGAGCTCCGTCCATGTTTCCCTTCTCGATCGCCTTCTTCACCTTGAGCTTCTAGGTCTTTTCTTCTTTCTCGGGCTTGGCGTTGCAAACTCTTGGCCGTGAATTTGAGCTCCATGATCTGGTTCATCAACTTCTCTGAATTTCCCATGGCGTCGGATCTGTCTCGATCTTTATCTCTGCAAATGCTAGGTTTCGGTAGAGATTTCGCGTGTAAAGCTTGGTGGAAACCTACAATCTAGGGTTTTAATTTTGGGAGATTTCTTTGATCTAGCTTTCTTTTTTGGTCTGTGACTGTGAATCCAGTTTCTCATAATTTCTTTTTTTTGCCTTTCACGATTGCGATTGGCGATTGAATTTAAGTGTAATTACCAAATTCTCCCTATGGAATCTAGAAGCAAGGGCTGTCAAACGAGCGAGCAAGCTCGTGAGTCGGATCGATTCGTCTCCAAATGAGCCCAGCTTGAGTTAGGTATTGGAGCTCGTTGAGCCGAACCAAGCTAAACAATTGAGCTCGTTTGTTAATCAAGCCAACATAAGCAATAACTGGCTCAGCTCGGATCGGCTCAGCTCAGCTAAGGTCAATTAATTTATTATAATACTTACATGTTATAATATCTTAATAATATTAGTTTTTACATAAAGATTAAGAAATTTAAATATAATTTTTTGTTGGGGTAAAACTTAAAAGATAACTTGATCTTTTCAAAATTTATAGATTTTCTATATTATGTTTTTTCAATTAGATTCATGAGAACAATTATGTTCAGAGGCAGAATTTGATGAACATGTTTAACTGTTAAGATTTTGATTTGAATTCATTTTGTTGAAACTAGGATAAACGAGCCTAAAATAGTAGTGCAAGTCGGGTCGAGCTCGATCAAGCTGAGCTTAAGCCAACACACAAATACATATAGAGGCATGTTAGCTCTATTCTCGGTCAAACTCTACTCTTAGCCTCCACCAATCACCTATGCATTATCAAATCAGTTATGGTGGTTAAAGCACTAGCTCTCATCAAAAATAGACAAATGATTGGTGGAGACTGAGAGTAGAGTTTGAGTAAGAGTAAGACTAGTATTTCTCATATATATATATATATGTCACGAGCCCAGCAGCAACAACCAGGTCGGCTCGTTTACATTTCTACCAGTAACTATCAACTCGTTTACACTCCTATCAGAAAATGTCCCATCAGAAACTGTTGGGGGGGGGGGGGGGGGGGGATTTTGGGGTTAACATTCCCCCTTTAAAAAAAATGATAAGAAAATAAATAAAGCTCAAGAGGTCCCACCAAGAGGCGAACTCGGGCTATTGGATTCAAAGTCCAATGTCCTGACCACTAGACCATGGAACCGCTTTCAGGTACGGCTAAATTATTATATAAAAAGATAATTAAAAAAAAAGAGTTGATGTGTACTCCAGGCCATTCAGTAGAGCAATGCATTCTAATATTTTAAGGATGATGCTACACGCCATCATTAATTACTTAAAAACTCATTACTAATAAACAAACCAAAAAACGAAAGATACAAATACAGATTTATCCCTTCTACTTCCTCCCGCCTCTTACAGTTCTACTACGGCAAAGACTGCTGCTTCCTTAAAGAAAATGTGTAGGCCTCCCGATTCATGGGCAGTTCCATTCGTAGCATCTCAGAATCCCTAACCGGGTCAAGTTTATCTATATACTCGAGCTCGTCATCGAAAAACAAAAATTGATGCCTGAGGCCAATGGATCCACTCCAAGTACAGCTCCTCCAAACTCTCATGTAGGGAAAGGTCGTGACCAATCGGAATGAGATTCACCTAACCAAACCTTCCAACACCATCAAGCTTCCTTGCGTGCATGTCTGTATTTAAGATCCTAATGTCTAATATACCTATTCTATGCACTAACAGCAAATGAGAAGCTCGAAGTCCCACCCTATTAAAATTGTAGAAGGCGAGAGGAAGAAGAAGGGGGGCAAATCTGTATTTTTATTTTTTTTATTTGGTGTGTTTATTAGAAAAATTGATTTTTTTTTTTTTAATTTGGTGGATATCAGTAGTAATTAGTGGTGTGCTTTTAACGAAAAAAAAAATAGAAAGAAAAGAAATTGCTGACAGTGAAAATTCTAAATTCTCAAATGTTTTGTTGACGAAGCATTCAACGTGATTGAAGCCTCCTTGGTTCCCTATATATACCCCCTTTGTTTAATCCCAATTTTCCCTCATCTCGAAGCATATCTCTATTTTTCATATTATTTTTTCTTAGTTTGTTCGTTCGTGCGAGAACGATACCTAGGGTTTTGAAAGCTCGACCTAATCAATCGGAATTCGGATTTTCTGCTCCTTCTCACGGATTTCCGCCATGAATCCTGAATAGTAAGCTTCTGGTTTTGATTTCTTCTCGTTTTTTGGAACGTTTGTAGCTTTTTTATGGATAGGGCTTGATTTTGAATGGGTGTTTCTGGTTACTGGTTTCAATTACTGGACAATAGGATGTCGTTCGATCGGGATCTGCTCTTTTGGATCCAGATCTTGTGGATGGTAGTATTGTGAGCTTGCTCCTGTATATGAAATTGTAGATGTTTTTTAATTGGATTTTTCTATTTTTAAATGTTTTTGTTTATAATAGAGGAATTACTGGATCCTATGTGATTTTGAGTAATTTGATAGCTTTTGGTATTGTTTTGGTGGTTAAATTAGGGATTTTAAGATAATTTAATGGGGAAAATTTATTGTTTGGTTGGTTCAAGTGGTTGCTCGTCCTTGCTTGTTTTATCTAATTGATTATTCCCATTGCAATCTAAGCATGGAACTTTTTGTTTGTAAGAATCAAAATTTTGTTTTTATAAGATCTGGACCACTGCATTGAGTTGTTAGGTATCATAGGGACAATCTATTACTCAGCAGTTCTGCAGCAGTTTTCATTGCAGGGTGAAATTGAACTAATTCCTGTCAGATAGAGACGAAGCATATATGTGAAATATTGTGATCGATGGTCAATGTGTTAGTAATTATCACTTGTTTTGCAAGAAGGCATTTTTCTCTATTTCCAATAAAGATATTGGAAGAAGTCACTCTTCCAGACAATTTTAATAGGAAGTGTTTTTCAAGGTATCAGCTGTTAATTGGGGTGCAACCCTTTCTTTCCCATTATTTTGTTTTTTTCCTTTTCCTGGGGCTCTTTTAGGCTGAATCGATAGCATGCTCAGTATTTGTATTTGATTTGTATGTTGGAACTTGCTTTGTAGAGGGAGGGTGAAAGATAAGTTTCTCTCTGTAGATAGGGAACACTGTGCTATCCCAAGAAGGATATGATGAGTTGGGATTAGAAGGTTTATGCTAAACTTTTGATTTGTCTTTATTGCCCAACTGCATTGGAGATTCAACCAGGAGGTGGGAAAATGATTATAAAGAGAAATCATAGCACATAAGTTGAGATGTAGGAGCTATTACATAGAAGAGGGTTTGGGGTAGGGGTGTCAACGAGCCGAGCCTACTCGCGAGCCAGCTCGGCTCAACTCGAAATAAATCGAGCTTGAGCTTTTACTTTGGGCTCGTTGAGCAGAGCCGAGCCTTAAAAGTGAGCTCAAAAAATAAACGAGCCGAGCCTAAACAATAAGTGGCTCAGCTCGGCTCGGCTCGGCTCGGCTCGATTAATTTTATAATAATACCCTTTAAAAGTTAAATTTATATTATATATTTAGTATACCTTTTTTTGGTAAAATATATTTAGTATATATTAACATAATTATTTCTGTTTAAGTTTTAACTCAAGCTTTCACGTGAGTCACATGACATCCTAAAGAAAAAAATGTCCTTTTAATTTTTTTAATTGAATTTAGTGCTTGTCAATGTATTTTTAAAAAAAATTATTGAGCCGAGCCGATTTGTGGCCGAGCCGAGCCTAAGCCTGAGCCTCTGTAAAATTTTAATGAGCCGAGCCGAGCCGAGCCTGAGCATCTGTAAAATTCTAACGAGCAGTGCCCAGCTCGGCTCGTTGACACCCTTAGTTTGGGGGGATTGGTAATTTGGTATGGGAGGAGATGGAGTTACTTTCGAAAATGATATTTGGTGTTGATTTATTCCTATTGTTCTTGCATATTTTAGGTTTTTTTTTTTGAGTAACAGAGGGTGTCCCAAAGCCTCCGAGCCAAGGACTAGTCCCTTCAGGTATTCGCACCGACACACTCGGAATTTTCCCTTCGGATACCAAGCTAAGTCGAGGAGTAGGAGTTAAAAATACGGTTTCGGGGGATATATTGCTCCCAACCAAAACCTATATGTATAGGTTTCGGTATCAGTTCGGACAATCCATATAACTTTTTCTTCTTGTAAAAAAATAAATTGACATAATCAAATTAAATTTAAAAAAAGTCAAATGAATTATAAGAACCAAATTTACCAAATAGAAAGTTATGGGAAGTGACTCAAAGACAAAGTAGCAAACACAATTACAATTACACAATGAATGAAAACATAAATAACTAATGAACGATAAGTTTCGCCCATTTCGTATTAGTATAAATATCGTACAGGGAGCTACCGAAACCTATACATAACGTCCGTTTCGTATCGGTTTCGGCGATTTTTATTTCCATGAGTTTGAACACACTACCACAGGGAGCAAACCCAAGACACTAGCCAACTGCACCCACCTCTGGTGGGTAACATGCATATTTTAGGTTAGAATAGTTAACATCATACATAGGAGTGAAGGATAGTGAGCTTTTCTGAAATGGGGACTGCATAGGCCTTCATTGCTGAGGAAGGATTAAAGATGAAGTTTTGGAGTGTGAGTTAGCTTGCACTGAAATCGATACGAGTTGGTATCAACTTCACTAAGTTGTACCCATCTTGCCAAAATTTTCACCACAAACAGGGGTGGGGCCAAGAATTTTTCCTTCGGAGGGGTGGGGGAAAAATACATGTATCAAGAAAATTAATGGTTTGGAGGTATAGGGTATGGTGGGGTTTACGCCCCCTGTAAAAAAATCATGGTTTAAAATATCGATATGTATCGACCGATATGGGCCGATACGTATCCTATTTGAAGCTACCCGATACACTGGTTCGCTAGAAAAAAAAATTTCACTATATCGGGCCGATACACTCGTTACTAGGATTTTTCAGTTAATATTTTTTCTTCTTCCATTTACACTAGTATCCACAATACAAACTTGATACATACAACTTATTTACATAATATATTATTTAAGCAAATGATTTTAACTTGATTTTACTTTCATTTACTTTAGATATTAATATGTAAATAAGGTTATCCCTCTGGTTATGATGCCCCAACCTAGCCCTACTTATCAGGAACCACTGGTTATGATGCCCCAGCCCAACCCTACTTATCAGGAGCCACTAGTTATAATGCTCAGTCCCAGTTTTTGACTGACAGCTGTGGACAGATCACGACTCAGTAGCAGGCATATGTACAAATGTACCTGGGCATGTATCGCACGATGATGACTTGGACATAGTAGTGTCATCATGTCTGAACCACTTATAATGTATCACTCTAGTCAATTCCTAATCCCACAATGATAGAGTATGAGTCAGCACGAAGCTCAATGTAGTATTGAGCTTCTATCATGTATGTAACTTGATTTGTGAATACAAGGATCAATGTATTTTCATATTTTTTATTTATGAATGCAAATGAGATTCTTTCACTTGGTTAAGTAACTATGGTTTGTATTTTCATACATATTTATCAGCACGCACGTCTTTTTTAACTTATAAATTTATTAACTCTCGTATGTATGATCATAAATCTAGTTGGAGACGTTCATTTAGTTTGTTTTTAGTTTATATTTGCATTAAAAGAGGTTTTATGCAAGGTATCCAAGTTTTTCCTTGCGTATCCAAGCTTTTTTTAGCGTATCCTGGATTTTTCCGCCGTATCCAACCGATACGGTACCGATAGGCCGATACGTATCCTATTTTGGACTTATCGATACGGCGACCAATACCGATATTTTGAACCATGAAAAAAATTGAGTAGTGGGTCCATCATGGTCATAAAATTCGTTAATGTTACATTCCAATAAAGGTCCAGTAATATGCCTTTTTTGAGAGAGTCATTATATAAATAAAAGGGAAATAGATAGCGGACTGTGCATTCAACTATGTAACTGAATGCCTATCCTCATTGGTCTGCGCCCCCCTTCTTAACACCCACTAACTGTGGTTAAGATTCTCTCACCCCTAGGGTTCATCCATCCCCGCTAATCACTCTAAATGAAATTAACTGTTCTAAATAAAATTAATTATATTTTTATTTTTTAATATTATGCATAGAAAAAATTTACAAATTATTGAAGGAACTAAAATTTTCACACTCAACTAACTAAAGTTATT